TTTTTTTTTTTTTTTTTTTTTTTTATTTATAAGCAAGCAACGATTCGCGTCACATTCTTTCAACCGTTGTTGTTCGTCGTAAGCCTGGATCGAAGTAGATATTCGCATAACTACGAGCCGGCGGAATTATACTGTTGCACGAGTGCACTCGTTTCAGAGTCTCTATTATGATCGCGCGAATAATGCCGCGCGAATCCCATTCCTCTAATTCTCGCTACCGATGCAGCTGTCTGTCACGGCACAATACCATCCGCGCGCGATACCCGCCGGTTTTCCACTTTCATCTAGCGTTTTGAACAAGCTCTATCGCCTACAATTTAATCCCACCCCGGTTAATTGTTCGTTGCCATTACGCTCGAAAATCTCTCTCTCTTTAACGAGAGAACAAACGGCAAATCGAATTTCGGAGAAAAGAGAAATAATAAAAGGCAGATTGGTTTCATTAGCTATTTCAAAATATTAAATTCGGATACACTCGAGGCGATCGTAAAATGTAATCGGAAAGATTGGACGAAAATATCGCGCAAACGGGACAAATCAGATCGGAACAAACAAATATCCCTCTCTCTCTCTCTCTCTCTCTCTCTCTCTCTCTCTCTCTCTCTCTCCCTCTCTCTCTCTCTCTCTCTCTCTCTCTCTCTCTCTCTCTCTCTCTCTCCTTCTCTCATTTCCCGGTATAACACGCTACAGTATTGAACACCTTCGATCCAGCAGAATTTTCAAAAGCTTCCTTTTTCAAACGGTCTTTGATACAGAAATAAAGTAAAGCGTAAGCCGCGCAAACATCGTAGACCTAGAAATCGCCAATGGCGAACCGCAACGAGACATTTAAAATATTAATACCGTAAGGTATACGGGAACGAAAGGCGGAAAAAGGGATGAGTCCGAGGTCCAACGTTGCACGATCCACGTGGAAAATTTCAATCGTGGAGAAGAGGAGGAGAAGTGGTCTCTAAGATCGGCACGAGTGAATGTTTAACGAGGGTCGCGGCTTGGAAAGGTCCTGGATACGAAACACGAGAATTCAAGAAAAATCGGACACGTCCGGCTCCCGTTGGAAAAACGGACCGGCTCCGTGCCACCGGAAGCCGGTACTTTTGTAAATAAATAAAGTAACCGGTGCCAATGCGTGACCCCATTAGACTCGCTTTACGTGTTCGATGCAGTTGCAACGTGTACTTGCAACCGTCGAGACCAGCCAAAGAGAAAGAGAGAGAGAGAGAGAGAGAAAAAGAGAGAAATATAAAACATTCACCGTTTCGCTCTCCTCCTCTGCGAATCTTTTTCTTTGAAGGGAGACACACACACACACATATACAGGTTTCTTGAATAAAATTTGCATACGCGCCTCGTCGCAACGTCGCGATCGCGTCCAGGGATCCCTGTACCCCTCCCGTTACCGGTTTAATTTGCGCCTCTGCCGCGACGGGACGAGTTTCCTCTTGCACAGGAAAGAGGATTAAGCCGCTCTCTCGTCCAGCTGGAAGGCGTTGCCAGGCAAATTAACCGTATCGGCTCGAACAACCGCGCCATCCGTGATTAATGGCTTGCTCGTGGTATAAGTGCAGGTTTTTAGACTCTTCTCTTTCTTTTATTATTATTATTATTATTGTTGTTGTTGTTGTTGCTATTTTTTTTCTCTTCTTTTTTTTTTTTAAACAAGGCGACGTTAAACGGATACACGTAGTATCGAAGAGATAATAAATTTTACTGGTGACTGGTCGCGAATCACGGGACGATAATACCGATGCCGATTTCACGTCCAACCTAAGTAATAATCGTATGCGATTATTAGTGTACGCATGTATACGTGTGTGTTAGGTGCGCGCGTTTTGGAACAGGTTTTCTCCCCAGCCGGTTATAAACACGCGTTAAGTCAATTTTCGCTCCTTATCTCCCATTATAACAGTAATTTAACGAACTGTTAACGATCGATCGGATGTGCCCGCTCCGCAACCGAAGACATTATCGCTTTAAAGAAGCGAAAGTGTGAATTGCAAAGAAGGGAGAAGAGGGGATGGGGCGCGATTTTCGAAGATGGAAGAAATCGTCGATTTCAATTTCCCCTCCCCTTCCCCCTCGAAATTGAACGGGGACCCGAGATCTCGCGCGAGGATGTTTCGAACACGCCACGATTCCTCGCGAGGAATTCGGGCGAATTAGCGACGGCGGGACGGCAAACTGCAATTTGTAGCCGGCGAGGGCATTAACTGGGCGCTCGTTAAATTTGACCGGACGTCTTCTCAAGAGAGGATCGAAGAAACGTCGAGGGGACGCGTATTCCCGCGTATTCGCGCGTGAACGCGCGCGCCTGTGTGTGTGTATACGGCAACCTATATCCCTACACAGTTCGAAGGGATCGTGTACGTGTTGGTAGACCAGAATCAGAGAGAGAGAGAGAGAGAGAGACAGGGGAGGGAGAGTGTAGAGAAGGAGCGAGCGAGCGAGAGAGAGAGATATCTAATTGGATCGGTAAATCATCCTCTAACCAGGAGGGTGGTAGGCTAGGCACCGCCACCGGCAACCCTTTATTCTGTGTTATTACAGTCTAAAGTTACCCCGTGTAATTGTTGCTGTTTAATTGCAAACTCTAAGTCGTCGCGTTACACGTCGCGGCGCCCCGCGTATAATTGCCCTCCTCGAGTTCACCCGCTCGTTTTTTACCGACGAAATAATTGGAAACGATCCTCCTTCTCTCTCTATCTCTCCTCTCTCTAGCTCGCTCTCTTTCTCTCGTTCACCCCTGCCACGGGAAATATCTAAATCCGACCGAGAACGGGCGGAATCGTTTCGATCCGGGCCACGGAACGTTCGGGGCTTCGATCAAACGGGAATAATTGGCGGGATTGGCGGTACGCTAAATTACCAATGAAATCTAATCGTCGGCAATTTCGTTTGGTTAAAGTGAAAGACAGTTTGCAGGTCTTGCAGCTGGAATATAGAGGGCAATTTTTTTTAAAGTCTTTTAAAATCGTGTGCAAGAAGGGGGTAGAGTAAATTTTTGCTATTACTGTAGTAGCTTTTTCCTTTTTTTTTTAAAATCATTTTTCCCTAGCTAAGCTCCTTTTTCCAATTCCCCTCAAACTCGTCGTCATTACTCTCGCTAAATTTATCCGTAGAAGGAATAGCACGAGTATAACGCGCGCGTTCTACTCCATCATCGAGAATACCCTTTTTCGATACGGGCTACGTGATACGAGATACGAGACCGATCAAAGCTACTGTATTGCGAACCGATAATAGAAATTAGGTTGCCGGTTATCCACCGTGAAAACGCGTTCGCCCCGCGTTTCGGGAACGAATCGTTCCCCGAAACGGGCAATCGCGGAAGCTATTGGTATCGGGAAAGCTTGCACACCGAACCGCAAGAACATCGCGCACTCTGCACTCCGCGCGGGGTGAATCACGGGGACAAAAGCAGGTNTCGTTGATTTCGTTGAAGTCGGTTGTACCCCGCGAGCGAGCGACACCGCTTTGGGGATGGCGGCTCCGTCGCTGCCCGCTCGGCCTATTGTCGAAGACAGACAATACAGCGCGATAAAAACGTAAAATTGATGCTCTTTTGTTCGCATTGTTTGAGAAGCTGTACAACGTTTGTCGCACGCCTGGACGAGCCACTGTTATTGGCTCCAAACTACATTCTCCTGTTCCGTTTCGCCTTCTCCCCTTCTCCTCTCTCTCTCTTCCTCTCTCGACCTCTCATCGTCCATCACCGCGCTCGCCGTTCTCTCTCTCTTTCGCGCCCCCTTACGTGCCACCAGAGAACAACCCCGCTCGCTTTTCCTACCCCCTCGAAACCTTTCGTTTCGTCAATAAGCCGGCATTGTGTCCCGCCACGCTTCCATAGTTTCACCGTTTTACATTGACCGCCGCTCTTCCATCGAAACCTTATTCTCTCCTGCCCTCCGCCTCCTCCCCTCTCCACCCCTCTAACCTCTCCCGCGATTTCTTGCCGCTCGTCGTTGTCGCGCGGTTCACGGACCGTGATTCTCCGCTCAACTGTATCCTTTGCCCCCCTCCCCGGTGTAATTCCCTCGCCGTTGGCCGACGTCGAAGGCATCCGACGTCGGGATCGCGGCCAGGGTAAAGTCGCGAAATTACTCGGGCCTCGTTACCGGCGGCAATAAAATTTCGCATCCCGGCAAATTACTCGCCGCTCTGTCCGTTGTAATTTACGCGTCAGATGTTAGGTAGAGCGGATGATCAACGGAGTAGGGAGAAAGAGAGGAGGGGAGGGGAAGGAAAGATCGCTTTGAGCCAAATTGCGGAACTTTAATAAAACGCGAGCGCGAGAGAGGACGCGATGGAAACGGAGAAGAAGGAGGAGGAGGAGGAGGAGGAGTAGGTGGTAATCGCGAGAGGAGAACTATTCGAACGAAACGATTCGATCTAAGTCTCGTTCGAGATAAAAGTCTGGCTCGATCGAAGACGCTAAAGACCGTGTCGCGAATTTTACATTCGTCCCGATTCGTTCCGAAAAGTTTCATTCAAGGGGACTCCGTCCTCCACTCGGAGCAATATGATACAAAAATGTCAGCAGTATCCGGATAATTACATAACTGGTCTCAGGGGTCGGAGGCGGGAGATGGACGTGGCGACGAGAGAAGTTGGCCTCCTCCTGCGTGGAACGCTGGCGCGAGCGGAGGAAGAGGTCGCGACGGATAGAGCGCAGGGTGATTTCCCAGCTGACCTGTAAAGCAACTCCCGAGCGGACTGTGTCTCTCGCAAACCGGTACTCCCGGTACTTCTTTCTTTTCGTCCCCTCCGTATTTCTCCGTATCCAACCGCCCCCAACCGCCCTCCACCGTCTTTGTTACTTTTGCATGCATCGCTCCGTCCTCCCTTTTTCTCCGTTCTCGCATCGTCGTTCATCTCGACGAGGACAAACGTACGCGGAAACGTTCGCGTGAGGATGAAGGGGGGGAAAAAAAAGATGAATAGAAAAAGAAAAATTGAAGATCGAAAGATCGAAGGAGGGGATGATGAAGGGAGTATTACGGATGAAGGATTCGATTCGATTGGTTAACTTACCGATGAGTGCACTGTTGGCAGGCGAAACAATCCAGGTGATAGACGTTCGTCCTGGCCTTCATAACCATCTCGAACGGCGGTATCTGCTTGTTGCAAGCCGCGCAATGTCCCGGATTCCCGAACAGCCTGAGGTAGTCCCTTTTACAGAGGATAAGGTTGGCCCTGGTGAACAGACTAGAACCGACCTCTCCTAACCTACAGTCGCAGCACCCGCACTTGAGACAGTCCTCGTGCCAGAACAGGTCCATGGCCTTGAGGAGATACCTGAAGAACCGACCATAGTTTTCCTTCTTACCGACCAGTAGCCTATCATTCTCTCCAGCTTCATCTTCCACCGGATTTCCGGAAGAAGTTTATCTTTCGATTAACTTTCGATTTTTTAACTTTTTCTTCTTTTTTTTTTTTTTTTTCTCTTCTCGTTCAAAACGAACAATTATGGTTATACGTCAACAACAATCGGTTCTTTCTTTCTTTTTTTTTTCTTTCTTTCTTTCTTTTTCCTGTTTTCGAATAGAAATAACGCGATGGGTATCTCTCACCTTTCCGTGATCGGTTTCCCACAACCAGCGCACTCGTGCTGCGTCGCGCCATTTTTACTCGGCTCCGACTTGCTCACGTCCATCGTCATCGTGATTTCGGCTAGAGCGCCGTCTGCAACAAGGAACAAGAACGGCGACTCGTTAAATCCGCGACATCGTGAATCGTGTCTCCCTACCATTGTGCCTCCGTAACAATGCCCCGCGCAGACAGCCACCACGCGTAATGTACACGTACGTCGTGATAATAAGCGTCTGCTAAGTGGCCGACAACACGCAATAACGATCCACGCTAATTGGAAACGGTCGTCGGTCGTCGTCGTCGCGAGAGTCAAATCTCTCTCGGGGTTTTTTCGATGGATCGATTTTCACCCGATGTCCACCACCCAAGCTAAATCCAAATCCTTCGAGACGTTCGAAAACGATTCGATCGAAATCGTTTTCCACGCGAATGAAAAAGAAATTGTTTTCCAAAATTCAAAGTTATCGAGAGGAGAGGTTCGATCTTGATCCGTGGATCTCGATGAACGAGAACGTGGTTCGAGTTAGGCTCGAGTATCCGATGACCGCGTTTCGAAGATCTACAGGGAGGACAGCGGGAGGCGGCGGGTTCATCGATCGCGAGGAACCGTTCGAACCGATGTGGCCCGACGAGGGGTTGAAAAGCGACGCGGAGAGAAACAGAGAGAGAGAGAGAGAGAGGAATAACCACATTCGCAGGAACGAACGCGTTCTAAAGGCGATCCGAGGGAAGGAGGACGGCCGGCTAAAATGGTGAGTGGCTGCACGGCGAGGCGCGGGGGCTTAATTAATTAGCCGGATACTTTGAGTAACAATCCATTATTACATACAAACATCCTCGGCCCCGGGGCCGAGCTGTAGCTTTATGCTGCTAATTGGCCTTCTCAAAGCTTGGAGACCCGGGCACGAGTTATAAACGCCACTCCTCTAACTCGCCAGCATCCCGACTCCATCCCTCCCTCAACCTTCTCCACCTCCTTCTCCACCCCCTCCCACCTTCTCTATTTCTCGTTTCCCTCTTCCCAACCGTTCCTCTCTGTCCCTCTCTTTCCCTCCACCCCTCTCTCCCCTTTATACCCCGCGTGTCCTCCCCCTTGGACCGCCACCACCACTACCACCAGCACCATCACCACCACAACCATCGCACTCGCACAAAACCCATACAACCAGACGCAGATATGGATACGCGAACGCGGCCACACGCATGTAAAAAGCGAGGGTGACACAGAGCGCGGGTGGGACGTGGACGAGCGGAGGATGGTGGGAACGAAGAGGAACAGCTCGACGAGGCGGCAGCAAGAGGTGGAGGAGGAGGAGGAGGAGGTGGAGGAGGAGGAGAGAGTTTGGTGGAATGACGATGAGGAAAGAGGGAGAGAGAGAGAGAGAGAGGTGGTCGAGGTGGAGGAAAGGAGTGTGGGAGATGAGGGAGAAGGAGGAGCAAGAGGAACGACGGATAGCGCTAATAACGCGCTCGTGGCGCAAAAAAAAAAAAAAAAAAAAAGGAAGGAGTATAATTGCCAGCCCTCGTGGCAGGCATTTTTCAAATAGGACCCCGTCCGTTAATTGGCGGGCAAATTAAAGAGGCGCCGCGGAGGAAAAAAACATCATCCCTCTGCCGCGTAGCCCCTTGGCCCCCCTCTTAGCGTGCCCCACCTATCCGCGTATCCAAGAGGCGTCTCGTGATTCGTCAAACGATCTGTGCGCTCCATTTTTTCTCCGGATTTATTCCTCTCTCTTTTTTCCTTCTTCCTCTCTCCTCTCTTTTCCTCCTCCTCCTCTCCGTGTCCGCTTCCAACCGCTCCTTACCCCCCTCTTTCTCTCTCTCTCTCTCTCTCTCTCTCTCCTTTCCATTCTTCCTACGTTTCATCGGTAACGTTTCTGGTAATTCGATTGATACCCGTCGATCGTCGGATGATCCCCACGCGGACGAGGACACGCGGGCTGAAAGAAGAAAGGAAGGTCTCCAGCACGAGCGAAATTCCAACGGAAAGGGAGGATGAAAATTTTCACGTGCCTACGAGTCGCGATCGCGAATCCATACCATCCGACCTGCCACCGATCATTCGGAAGAGATCGCGAGGGGTGCGAAACGCGACGCGCGCGCACGTGCGAATTCCCCTAGAGGGAGAAATCCGCTTCTTAAGCGGAAGCAGGTAACCGATCTTTTCACGGGTGTACAGTTATTTGTCAGCCGGGCGGAGTATCAAATTCCATCGCGGCGGTATTCCATTCGCAGACGTTAGCGGCGAGAAGTGCGAAGCGGTTGATAAAATTCGATCGCGCCCGTCAATTTGCCTATTCTATATCTGGCGACGAGTATCGGTAATCGACTCGAGCTGCGCGATCGATCTCGACGCATGCGCGATGGTTGAGAAAAGGAGAAGGAGAGGAGGGAGTGAAATCTCCGCGGGGGGTCTCCGTACCCGCGTAAAATCGTTCTCGCGCGAAAAAAAGGACCGGTCGCGTGGAAACCGCCTTCTTCCGACCGGTTGACGGAATCGTAAAGTGAAAAGTTGATTTATGAAGGGGGTGCACGCGCATG